TGGGATTCAAGGTCACTTCAAACCCAAACCAGCCTGTGACTTTTCCCCAAAAATACATTTTCTCCCGTAGGAGAGCTGGAAGCGACAGAGGGCTCAGAGGAGAGCCCTGCACTCAGGGCACGGCTCGTGACTTCCACATTCCCCGAGGACATTCCCAGCCTCACCCACAGCAGGACGTGCTGGCAGCTGCTGCTTTTTTGGGAGTGCTCCAGTTCCAAACATCTCCCAGTGTGCCTGGGAACTGCCCCTAAAGGTCCATCAGCACCTCCCTGTCAACCCCAGCAGGAAATGTGTGAAAAACCTGTCACAGCCCCTGCGTGTCATGCTCCCAGATCATTCATTTCCCACAGAAATTCCAGATATTTATAAAAACCTCTAACACAGGGGCCCTAAGTAATTTCTCCCAGTGAATGATTTTATATTCCACTTGCTAATCTGAAATCAAAACCTACTGGAATCACTCCCAGCATCTTTGGGAGGCTGGAAGGTGTTTTGAGTTCAAGCATTATTAAGCTCCGTGGTGCTCAAGGAAAGCAACGATCTCTCCATGAGCAGCCTCCAGAGCTGGGAAATCCCAAAAAGAAAAGGGTCAGTATCCCCAGTCTCCCTCCCAGCCCTGAATTCCCAGCTCCTGGAGGTGCCAGCCTTACCTGGAATGAGGTGGGAGGGTTGATGTTCACCCGGGCTTGGTTCCAGTGCTGTCCCTTATTCCCACTCGAGGACCACAAGGGGTTTTCTATGGCAGTCTGGCCTTTGAGCCTCAGGTAAACGTTCAAACTTCCTGGAAAACAGCAGGAGAACTGGAGTTGGGAGGGCTCTGCCTGGATGCCGCAGGACCCTCCTCACCCGTTTTCCACGGATTTGAGGTGTGGAAGTTTCTTGGTGTAAATTCGAAACCTTTTAAATTCAGGAATGCTGGGAAGTGGCGATGGGAACTCCCAGCAGAGGGGAAATGAGCACCCACCCTGCAGCTCCGGCCAGGCATGAGAATTCCAGGGAAAACAGGCAAAAAGGAATTTTCTGTGGTTTAGAGCAAGAAATTTGCATTAGACCTCCTTATCCAGGGCAAAATCAGCAATTTGGTGGCTTTGTGCTGAATTCTTGCTTGTTAAACCTGCCCAGCTTTCCTCTGCCCATTGCTGAACTCTCGGAGTTCCCCAGAACCCGGCAGATCCATCTCAGGGAGAGACCTGATGATGCCATTGGGAATATTTCTGGAGGACAGCAATATCCTCAACATCTTCTGAGTTCAAAAACCTCCAGAATCTTTCCCTGTGCAGGAAAACCCCCCAGAGCTGCACCTTTGCCCACACCCTTTTTTCCACCTTTGCCAGCACAGACATTTTTGACACCAGGATCACCTGTAGGCACGGACAGAACCAGATTCTCTTGGTGCACCAAAAAATAACAAATTTCATTTCTCTGGGCTCATTAATTCACAGGATTTGGGGAGTTTTGGTGCTATTTGCCACTGTGGTTGCCTGCAGGTGTGTGGGGCAGTGAGGTCTCTTTGTGCTCTGTAAATTCAGTGTATTTCTCTTAATCTGAGACTTTCAGACTGCCAAATTCCCACAGGAGCAGCATTTTTTGGGATGCCTGGCACAGCAGATCCCAAAAATTCCAAGGGAAGCTCCCAGATCTGAGGCAGCTGCACCTGCTCTGGAACAGTTCTTATTCCTAGCAAAAGTCAAATTTGGACCCTTGGAAAACATCAGGCTGGAGATTGAATGGAGGAAATATTCCCCTGTTGGCTTTCACCAGGGTGAGAGAATAGGAGTGGAATGGAATGGAATGGGATTGGAATGGGATTGGAATGGGATTGGAATGGGAATGGAATGGGACTGGAATGGGATTGGAATGGGATTGGAATGGGATTGGAATGGGATTCCTTTAACCCAGCCCAAGTGTTTGGACTGCCCAGCCTCATCCCCCCTCCAAATATTTATATGTTTATATTTATATTTACACTTATATTATATTTATACTTATATTTCTAATTAGATTTATATTTATATTCATAGTCATATTTAAATTTATTTTTATTTTTAGTTTTATTTAGTTTTTTTTTTTATTTTTAATTTATTTATATTTATTTATATTAATTTCCATATTTATATGTTCAGTGGTTTTGGTTTGTTAATTTGAGATTTTTTTGTTGTTTTTTTTCTTAATGAGTGTGGGGGGTTTAGTGTTGGCTAATTGCTAATTTATTTACTTTTGCTGTGAGGTAGGATTAGGAGAAAGGTAAAGTAGGCTTAAAACTTTAAAAAGGTATAAAGAAAAAATTATTAATAGTAATTAAAAGGAGGAATAATAGGAAGTAGAATTAAACTTTTAGAATACTTTCTAACTTTTAGAATACAGAAACACTCTTTGACCCTTGATGTTTGTAATTTGTTCTTCATAATTCACCACAAATAAACGACCAGAATATGACCGGATATTGCAATTTCTAGATTTTCTCTCAGCACGGAGTGGCTGAATCCCTTCCTTCCAATAAAAAACCCAGCACAGAGCCAGGAGAATTCCAACCTGGAGCTGCATCCACCTTCCTGCAGCACAGAGACAAAAAAAGAAGAATAACCTGAGTGCTCCTGTCTGCTCTGCTTAAAATCTGAGCTCTGCCTGGGGGCAGGGGGAGCTCGGACAAAGCAAGCACCAGAACTCTCTGGGAGGATGGGTTTGCCCTTGAAATAGAGATAAAAATACATCAAACCAGGTCACTTTGACATTGGAAAAACTCTTGGCACATTGGGAGCAACGAGAAACCCGCAAAGGACTTCCAAATATTGGATTTTTGTTGTTTGGGCTTTTATATTTTCCCACTTCTTCTTTTTTTTTTTTTTTTTGTACCACAAAAAGAAATTAAATGTGGGTGTTGAAAGAGGCAGGATTAAAAAGAGACTGGCAGGTACCCTTTGAAAATTCAAATTCCTGCTGTGTGTGAGCGAATTTGTCATGACTTTTCCACAGGAAACACATGAGGAATGCTGCTGCTCCCTGCCTGATCCCAAATCCATCAGGAATGCCTAAAACACTCACATATATTCCTTGAAAATCTGTATTCCTGTGGCTTTAGAGCAAATTTGCCATGAATTTTCCATGGGAAATGTATGAGGCATGCTGCAGCTCCCTGCCTGATCCTGAATCCAGTCAGGAATACCTAAAACGCTCACAGATACCCTTTGAAAATCTACATTCCTGCAGTTTGAACAAATTTTCCATGACTTTTCCATGGGAAATACATGAGGCATGCTGCTGCTGCCTGTCTGATCCTGAATCTGGTCAGGAATACCAAAACCACTCAAACTTACTCCTTGAAAATCTGTATTCCTGCAGTTTGTGAGCAAATTCTCCATGGCTTTTCCACAAGAAATATATGAGGAGTGCTGCTGCCTGCCTGATCCTGAGTCCAGTCAGGAATGCCTAAAACACTCACAGATACTCCTTGAAAATCCACATTTCTGCAGCTTTTGAGCAAACTTTCCTTGACTTTTCCACAGGAAACACAAAAGGAAAGCTGCTGCTCCCTGCCTGATCCTGAATCCAGTCAGGAATACCTAAAACACTCACAGATATCCTTTGAAAATCTACATTCCTGCAGCTTTTGAGCAAATTCTCCATGAGTTTCCCATGGGAAATACATGAGGAATGCTGCTGCTGCCTGCCTGATCGTGAACCCAGTCAGGATTACCTAAAACACTCAAATCTGCTTCTTGAAAATCCATATTTTGCAGTGTTTGAACAAATTTTCCATGACTTTTCCACAGGAAACACCTAAGGAATGCAGCTGCTCCCTGGTGATCCTGAATTTAGTCAGGAATACCTAAAACACTCACAGATATCCTTTTAAAATCTACATTCCAGCAGCTTTTGAACAAATTTTCCAGGACTTTTCCATGGGTAATAGATGAGGAGTGCTGCTGCTCCCTGCCTGATATGGAATCCAGTCGGGAATGCTGAAAACACTCACAGGTACTCCTTGAAAATCCAAATACCTGTGGCTTTACTGCAATTTTTTCCATACGTTTTCCATGGGAAATGCACGAGGAGTGCTGCTGCTCCTTGCCTGACCCTGAATCCATCAGGAATACCTAGAACACTCACAGATGTCCATTGAAAATTCATATTCCTGCAGGTTTTGAGCATATTTTACATGAATTTTCCACAAGAAACACCTGAGGAATGCTGCTGCTCCTTGCCTGATCCTGATTCTACTCAGGAATGCCTAAAACATCCCCTTAGAATCAGGAAAAATCCTTGTTAAAATCAACTTTTCCCTTTCCAGGCTCTAAAATTCCCATTCAGATCAACGGGATTCCCATGCAATTCCCTGCCCAAAACCTCATTCATGCAGGAAACACTTTCCTCCTTCCCAAAACTCCCTGATTAGTGGAAATCAGGAAGTTGCCACAATTTGGATGCCCTCAAGCACCTCCCTGAGTTATGCCAGGCTCTCAGACCAACTGGCACCCTTCCCATGCTTTTCCTCCAAACAAGAGGATTTTTTTCCAGCTATTTTTCCCAGAGGAATTGGCTTTCTCTCACCTATGTGCTGTCCATACATGTGATAGTAGAAGCTGAAGCAGTAGGCCGTGTTGGTGGCTCCGTAGGGATTTTTGGGAGCAACGCTGAAAACGGGACTGACGAGTCGGGCCTTCTCCCCCTCCAGCCTGGGCCGGGACGTCTCGATGTACATGTAAAAACCTGGGAAAA